GGGGAGCTCACGGATGCGGTTGTGCGCAACGTTAAGACGCTGAAGGCTACGCAAAGCCCCGATCGAAACTGCAGACAACTCTTCAAGTGCATTTTCACATGCATTCAGAGAGACGAGCTGCGGGAATGCTCGAGCCAAACCTTCCGGTAACGAATGCAACGCGTTCCGGCGAATGTTCAGTTGCCGAAGACGTGGGAATTTACTGCTTAGCTCCTCGAGAGTTGGGAATTCAGTCAACTGTAGACCTGACAATTCCAGTGTTAAGCCGTTAGACTGCGCGAGACTTGCAGCATACCGCTGCTCTAAGGCAGCGACACGAGCTGATAGAACTTCTTGCTGGTCTTCCTGTTGCTCCATTATATGATGTGATCAATAGCGAAGATGCTGCGCATGTGGTTCCTGTATTTATAGGGAGACTACAGTGTTTTTTGGAAACGTACAAGCTTAAACGAGCTGTGCTGCTTCTCGCACTCTACTTGCTCAACGTATCCAAGAGTGCGATACAGCTGCTGAGCGCCTTCCATTGCGCCAATAGTCTCGAGACGGATCTCGTTGAATGCACCACAGGACGCGGTGAATGCCTCGACAGTTCGAACCAAAGCTGACGCCACACCACGACGTCGAAGTGCAGGCGCAACGCTCAAACGGCAGAGTTCGGCAATTCGTTGATCCTCCGAGTTTGTCTTTTGACCAACGAGTGGCTTGACACCGACACACCCGACGACTTCACCGCACACTTCAGCTACCCAGAAGCCACAAGTCATGATACCAGTACTGTGACGAGTTTGAAAAGCGTGATGCACATCGAACATATCGCCGCTAGGACCACGAAGACGGTTCGCGACGAACTGACGCACAGCACGTGAACCTTTGGCAAATTCAAGGTGTGTGCTCTCAAACAGTGAGCGTACAGCAGCCAAGTCTTCATGCTGGAACGTCCGAATGATCACTACATCGGATGGCTCCTGTTCCTTCACTTGTGGAGCGCAGCTACCGGTCAGAAGATACCGGTGTTGGTGCGTTTGGGCCACGAAATTAGCAGCCCACTCCTTGTCTTGGTCCTTGCAGTTGTCTGCTAGGTAGATGGCGTAGTGAGCGTTGCACAGCATGAAGTCGGCATATTCGTCGAAAGGTTCCAGTAATGCCAATCTGCGCTTCTCCTCTGTAGTCGTACATGCCGCGAACACACCGTTCATGTCGAGGATACGGCAATTCTGCCAGTGGCCAAGAGCAAGGAGTCGACGAGCGTGATCGGCTGCTGTCCGGTATCCACGTGCACCTCGAAGCGTGCAGCCCTTTACAGCAAAGTAACGCTGTAGTGTCGAGTCAAATGCACCTGACTCCTGCTTAATGTTGCTTGGAGAATCGCTGTCGCCTTCTTCATTTGCTTGAAGCCCAATCGGGTCATACAGCGCAATGGAGCCAGTCGAAAAAGTCTCAGCAAGCCAACGCAGCAGCATCGTGCCCTTCTCCGGAGCGAGATATGACTGCAGCACAAAAAAACTATTAGGCAACCATGTTACAACCTGCAGACAAAAAGATAGCACGTACCAGGACGCATTCTGCAAGAATGAGTGTAGGCAGACTACGATCCACGCCAGCGGCATTTAGAGTGGAATCCAGACGCTGAATGTCCCCGAGATCGCAAGCAATAAGCGAGTACGAGGCGCTAGGCACTTGGCATTGCCAAGTTGCCTTTCCATCGACAGGTGCAGCTACTGTTAAGGTGTCCATGTCCTTCGGGAATAGTCCAGCTCGAACATTGTCGTCATTCAGCAGCTTTGTCTTCGCGCCCACGATAGCGTCACAGTCCACTTCCGTAAACGAAAGCTTTCCTGCGAACTGCTGTTGCTCCAGCAGCCGGAAGAACAGCGTGTCGAATCCAGCGCCCAAGGACACGATGTTGACTTGGGTTGAAGTCGCATCTACAGTCCCAAAAATGTCAGCTAAACTGCACAAAAAGCACTGAATCACAAAAAACGCACAATGCGACAGGAAGAGTTCAGCGCAGCGAGCAACAGCTACGTGACGCAGGTAATAACCGCGATGGATCTGGAATAAAAGCATTAAAACACGATCGAATTAGCGCCGACATGCACTGTTTTAGCAGCTAACTCATCTAGAAGCTTAACCATGTGCAATTCAAAGTACCAGAGGGATGCGCCGCGTGGGTTTCTCTACGAAGAAGCGAAGGAAAGGGTCCTGGAAGTAGCCGAGCGTCTCTGCGGAGCTACATAACACGTCACAAGAAAAAATAATGCACACAGTTTAGAAGCTGATTCTGGCGGCAATAGATCATTTAAAGACGCTGTAAGCGCTTGGACGCAAGCTAAATGTCTTGTGTCACCTACAGTTTGCACTTGACGGCGTCGAAGGCCGTCTCTGTGACGTTGTGGTCGCTCGTGCCGCGCCATTCGGATGTCATCGGCGAAACCATGTCCAGCAAATCTGATGTATACGTTTGCAGTATACAATACCGGATAGTATTTGATGTACACCACATTAAACGTGCGACATGTGGAATTTGGTAATCGGTCACGGTGAGTCACCAGATGGAAGGGACACATCTGTTTTTGTAACGGAGCGCTTGAAGGAGACTAAGCCAGAAAGAGAAGGATAATAAGAACTGCGCTCATGAACAAGGAGTTTCGCTTCGATAGAACCGCTAACGTTAGTATCTGCGCAATTTCTATCACATTGGATCCCAATTAGCTGTACATCGCTTCGAGTGCCGGTGATGAACAATCATAGCAGGGCTAGGACATAGCAGGGCTAGGATGATGCCCAATAGTTTTTTTTTTTTTTTTACCTGCTGGATTATTAATAGTGCTTAAGCTATCGTTCAGACTTGAATGTTGCTCAAGGATACGTGTACTATCCTTAGGATAGTAAAAAAAAAAATCGTGAAAGCATCGAATCCATGATAACTGCGGCCCGAAGTTTGCGGGCTCAATTAGGCACAGCGTTCAGCAAGAGATACTAAGTATTTAACGGGCGCATTCTCTAATTTCACCAGTACGACGAGTAAAGCGATGAAATTCGAGATCTCACGTGTTCCCAGGCAATCCACCGCGTGCTTTAGTGGATCTCGGATGACACTTGGATAGGCACGTAAGTAACTCCACAAGTATCACAAAGTGCAGCAGTAGACCTGGTAAAAACGGTATCGACCACTGCTTATCGCTCTGTTCCGATCGCTACCTGGCATCTGTGCTTTCAGATTGAAACCGAGCAGATCACTTTGTCAGTGTCGCACGCACACTCTTCGACAGTCGTAGCCTTGAGATCTGGGTGAGGACCGAAATCCGTCGGCTTCCGAGCTCACTTTGCGTTTTAACTCAGTAGAACTCAACTGAAGACACCCAGCCAAAATCGACCACCAGCATCGGTCATGCGTGTGTTCGCTCTTCTTGTCGCTGCCGCCGTTGTGGTTCCAGTGCTTTCAACGTCGCTGCCTATGGTCGATCTCGATTACACCACCGTCCAGGCCGTTGGTGGCAACACCACCGTCGGCTACTACAAGTACCAGAACATCCGATTTGCTGCTGTTCCGACTGGCGATCTACGTTTTGCTGCGCCAGAAATGCCGCCTCAGGAGAACGAGACAAACACCGGCACGAATCTTGCTGATGCCGACGTTGCCTGCACGTCCACGGAGGACTGTCTGTATCTGGATGTGTGGGCTC